GTGGTAAAAAGTCATTCATTCATCCATCCATTATTTTAATAATTTCATCACAAGGTCTGTGTGACTTGCAAGATCAGCAGTTCAAACTCACCAATCTCTCCTTGGAAACCCTATCAGGGTGATTTACAGCCTTGGAAACCCTATACAGTGTCACTATGAATCAGAACCGACTCCACAGAACACCACCACCACCACCACCGTAAGTCAGAAACGATTTGGTGGCACTTAACAAAAACCACCATGGATTAGGAGTCCCTAGGTGGTACAAATTGTAAGCATGCTCCACTGTTAACAATTAAAAGGTTGGAGGTTAGAGTTGATCCACAGGTACCTTGGAAAAAGCCTGGCAATTTACATTTGGAAAATCAGTATTGGAAACCCTAAGGAACAGAGTTTTACTCTGATGCACACGGGATTGCCATGATTCAGTGTTGACACGAAGGCAACAGAAAATGAAAAGTCATGAGTTACTGATGCACTGGGGACACAAAAGTGAAAAGATTCCCTCCTTACTAGAACCATGAAGTCTGGAGAGGCAATTTAGAATTTAGAACCTCACTATTGTCTAAGCAACCTTTTAGTTGACATAACTGCCAGTCCTTAACTGCTGGAAAATGTCCTTGAAGCATCTGATTCACATAGAATACTCAATGAAGCTAACTGGATTGTAACCAATACATTAAAATAGTGATTCTCAATGTAGGCATGATGCTATCATATACCAATAATACCCATTGCTGGGAGACAATTCCAACTCAGAGTGGCCCTTTAGGACAGAGTAGAACTGCTCCATAATGTTTCCAAAACATAAATCTTTATAGTTGCAGATTACCACAGTTTTCTCCAAGGAAACAGCTGGCGAGTTCAAACCATCAACTTTTTGGTTAGCAGCCAAGAGCACTTTAAACAGTGTGCCAAGAAGCTTTCTGATGTTATCATAGACAGTATATTCTCATTGCTAATATTGTTTAAAAGCCCTAAAGGATTTTGTGGAAGAGTAAAGCAAATATTGTTGTTGTTAGTCGTGGAGTAGATTTCAGCTCATGGAGACCCAGATCCTATGTGCACAAAATAAAACTGACTCCATAGTATTTCAAAGTTGTGACCTTTTGGAAATAGATCACCAAGTCATTTCTCAGGTGCCTCTAATTGGGTTTCAGTCTCCAACCTTTCAGTTAGTAGTCCATGCTTAACCACTGAACCACCCAGATAACTCCAAAACAATTAAAATTGTGTGGCGCTGTGGGTTAATGCGCCAGACTGCAAAGCTATTTAAACTGCAGGATTGGTGACTCAAGCTCACCAGCTGCTCCTCGGAAACCCTATACAGGGTCACTATGCATCAGAACTGACTCAACAGCACTTACTTAACAACAACAGCATTTTGGTTGGCCGTTCAAGCTCACCAGCTGCTCCTTGGAAATCCTATACAGGTCACTATGAGTCCAAACCGACTCGACAGCACTTAACAACAATTTTAGTGTGGCACTTCTGATGTGGTGCTGTAGGATCAGTATTGGACTTTGAACAACAAGGTTGGCAGGTCATACCCACCAGCTGCTCCTCAGAAACTATACAGGGTCACTATTTGTCAGAACCCACTCAACAGCTCTTATAAACAACAATTTTGGTACAGCACTGTAGAATAAGCACTGGGCTGCAAACCATAAGGTTGGCGGTTCAAACCTAGTAACTCCTCAGCACCAGACCAAAATTGTTGTTTATGAGATCTGTTGAGTTTGTATAGGTCGCTATGAGTCAGAACTGACTTGACAACACTTAACAGAAACATTTAAATTTTTATTCTTAACATGGTAGCTTTGAAAGCATTTAGCTAGAATGTAAATTGTGAAATTAACAATGAAAAGATGTTTAAGTGAAAGATGTGGTTGTAAGTGACAAAGAAGAAAAAACGTAACCAAAAGTAATGATTCTAACTGAACTCAAAGTCTTAAATATATAATATAGAGAAAATAAGAATGTACAGTGTCATTGGTCTTATTAGCCCTCAGGTTGGAAGGCACTAAAAATGAGACAGGGAAAGAACTGCCTCCTCAAAGTAGAGTTGACCATGATGACACGATTGGAGTAAGGCTCTTGGGAGAAAAGCCCGCAGGACCTTCATTTGCTGATGGGGTACAACTCAAAATGAAGCCAAACAGCTGTAAACATCCATTTAAAATCAGGACATGGAATGTTTGAAGTATGAATCTGGGAAAATTGGAAGTTGTCAAAAATGTAATGGAATGAATAAACATCGATATCTTATGCATTAGTGAGCTGAAATGGACTGGTTTTCGCCATTTTGAATCTGATGACCACATGGTTTACTATGCCGGGAATGACAAATTGAAAAGGAATGGTGTTGCATTCATTGTCAAAAAGAACATATCCAGATCAGTCATGAGATACAATGCTGTCTGTGATAGGATGATATCCATGCGCTTACAGGTAA